TTCACAACAGCTGGAGAGAGCCAACTATACATATTTCTTCCTAATGCTACATTCAGTGACACCAGGTTAAAAGCCTGAAATGGGCCATGGTAGGAATTTGTATTTCATGGAAATTAGCAAACAAAATTATTCAGGGTTTTTTTATTTTTTAAATCCATACCCTATCTTGACCCACAGACCAAGTGTTAAATATTTACCAGCACTACACTGGAAATATCACTCTTGAAGATACTTTGATACAAAGGTCACTTAACTAGCTACATGAGGTTTTAAGATAGAAATATTTTTCAAATAAACAATGGTAGAATGTAATGTAAAAAAAAAATTGCTTCTAAGAAAGCTATATGTTAATAAAATAAAGGAGAGGAAACACTACATCTTGACACAGTCCATTCCATCTGACATTTAAAATGTTCTTTCTTCAGCAAAAACATGCATCTCCCTACACGTGCTATAGTACTGGTCCTGTCTCTTATAAAAGTTCCTAACTTTTACAATAATTTGAGGTCAAACAAAATAAACTCCTCCTTTCTGTGATTGATCAGCCTTTAATATTTAAAGAGAATAAACCTTTAGTCCCAGGATTTTCTTTTTGATGTTTATTCTCTATTTAAAGATTATAAAGATTTAAAATAAAACAAGTGAAATACTGCTACTGATCTTAAGAAAAAGCCATTATATAGAACACAACAATTTTTTATAAAGAAAATTATCATATCTTGTACCATGACAACTTTGGTGAACCAAGTAATTATGAAATTAATATTAAATGTTAAAATATCAAAATAGGTAAAATACTTATTTTGAATGGTTATAATATTCTTAGCCTGATATTTATCACAATCAATTTTGCATCAATTAGATACTAGCTCATTCTCTCAGCCCTCATATCTACTCCTTTACAAGGTTTCTCCAGTTACTTCAACGGACTGAGCCACAGAGGCTGGAATCATATAAAAAAGTCTCAAGCTTGAGAAGCTACCTCAGTACCCAAGGGAAATTCCTTTTATCTGTGACTTACATCTATCCTCCAGTTTACTTTGGCTTTTATTCATTCTCTTAAAAATTACAAACGCACCATGTTACAGGCCTTGTGCTAGGCACAGGAGATACAATGATATAATGTTAAAAAAAAGATAAACATGACTCCATGGAGGGCAGTCTTCAAGGAGAGATGTCCACTGAATAAATAATCTCATTAAAAATTATAATTATAAATTATTTTAAGTGCTATGAAAGAAAAGTATATGACTCTATGAAGGGAGATTGGCCTCCTCCGGAGGCTCAGAAAAAGCTTCCCTGAGAAAGTAAAATTTGACTCAAGACCCGAAGAATGGCAATGAGGAAAGTTCAGGAAGAGGAAACAGTACTTTTTCAGTTCTAAACATATTGGTTCCATCTTTGGTGGAACTTTTATTTCCACCTTTGCTGTCTCCTGGCATTTTTCTCCTGAATTTTACTATATCTATCTCCCAACGCTGACCCATCCTATACCCATAATAACAACAACTAATGTTTATTGAGCTCATACTACTTAGGCGACATCATTCTAAGCAATTTACATAAATGAATTAATTTAACCCTCATAGTGACCATATGAGATAGGTTGTATTTCCTCATTTTACAGATGAGAACTCTGAGGCACAGCTATGATAAGCTACCTGTACAAAATGATACAGTACTGGTATTAGTCCTTGCATGACCATCACGTCCCTCATAACTTACCACTCTTACAGAAACCGTGAAGCACCAAACTACATTAGCAATACTATCGGGCAAAGAATACCAAGTCTTCTCTATCTCCCAAACTGCTACCATCCTCATCTAGGCAGGATTATGTTTATTTTCTCCAGCTTTCAGAAATTAGGAACAAGAAATTGACCAACATAGCCTATACTAAAACATCTCCAAGAGCCAAGAAAAGTGTTTTTAGAACAAGTAATACTTTCGTCTAAAAAGTTACTCACCTAGAATATAAAATAATGAAAACTGGACAAGAAGAATTATAATTTATTTAATTTCTTCTGTACCTCCCAAGGAAGAGGAAGATAGAATTTTTTTTCTTTTAAATTTAAACTCATAAATACTTTGCATGTATTTGTAAAACTAAATTAATATGCAGTGAATTGGCTATGATGCAGAAAAACATCCCAAAAATCAATTACTTTCTTTAGGTAAGCACCTTTTAAATATGAAAGAAAAGGAAATAATTATTAAATGACCAAGGTCTCACTCAAAAAATACATAGGTATTTTTTAAAGTTTCTGTCATGATCAAAAGTTTCATTTGTAAATTCATCACTGAAGGTGATATGAAAAACAGTAATTAAGTGGGTGATTGATACAAGTGGATGTATGACTCATAGTTTGCAAAGGAAAATGATTTTTGGGAAAAGGCTTAGGAAGAAAAGAAGCAAATAATGGATTTTGGAAGAAATGAAGACCTTTCCTGTCCAAGGACTGTCACTAGTTCTTTATTACTTGAAGATTAAGGGAATAGTGAATAAAGCTGTCTGCCAGACAGCAGAAAAGAAGAGAAATAACAATGGCTCTAAATGTACTGCACATTAAAATTTTCAGAAGTAACATTCACAAAATTAAACTTTCTATAAAAAGTTACTAGAAAACCAACTTAAATCAGAACAATGGAATGTCAAAATAAATCAAGATTACATTTGTCAGGAACTTGAACAGAATGAAACAGCCGGTTAGGTCAAGTTGTAGAACTACCTAATTTTACTCCACTTGGGTTTTGAAAAAGGCAGATCCAATACTGAATTAGAAGGAGACTTAAGGGGTTTATTTTTGTTTGGTTGTTTTTCTACTTCATGGGTTAATGCAAAATAAATATTTGGTTTCTGATACTAGGGTTCAGCAAATTTATACAATAAGCTTTGGTTTCTGGCTCCAGAGATCAAATTCAAGTATAGAATTCAGTTCTACTCTTTTAGTAACTGCCCTTTCCCGCTTCACATATACCTCTAATGTATCATATATTTACAAATATTTTTTACTCGTATTTAGGTATGAGTATTAACTGCTATCCTTGCCCTTTGAATCTTTAAAGAAAATGAAGAGAATTTCATTTAGATGAAGTCACATTTAACAGGCAGTTTCATACAATTTAATTTTTTAACTTACATTTTAATGTGTATTTTGGAGTCCCTACTATGTGACAGCATTTAGCCAGATGCTTCATACACACATTCTCATTTAAGAACATTGGATTTATTTCATTATATATATACTGTCTGAGGATAAGGTAAACAGAATATTTTTATGATGAAGCAACCTAAGTCCTATTACTGATGGCTTCTTAAGAGCTGTGTGGGGAGGTGGGATGGGGGGAGGGTTGTTCACACACCCATGCATGCTACACAATGGATTCAAACCTAGACAGCCCTGTTATTGAATCTTTACTCTTAACAATTAAGGCACTGTATATTGGAAAAAGAAGTAAGGTGTGACTTTTAAAATGAAAATAACTTTTTAAATAATAATAGTAGCTTCTAGAAAAAGAGACCATAGTTCTGAAGTCTGTATGCTGATTATTATCAGCACAAAGTTATAAACAGATATTAAAAGAAAATGTACTATGATAGAGATTTCTTTTCCTTTTGTAAATGTGATTAATTTTCAGAAAGATTCTTGCTTTTTCTTTTTGGATATTGTATTACCTAAGATTTTTGCAATCTCTTTATTGATTTTAAAGATTTTCATATCTAAGATCTATATAATCCAATCAGCAGCACTATAAATAAGGCAAGGGTGATGGTTAATTTTATGTGTCAACTTGGCTGGATCACAGGTACCCAGATGTCTGGGCAAACACCATTCTGCATGTTTCTGTGAAGGTATTTTTTAGGTAAGATTAACATTTAAATTGCTAAACTGAGTAAAGCAGATTACCATCCAAAACAAGGGTGGGCTTCATCCAATCAATGGAAAGCCTTGCTGGAACAAACACTGACCTCCTTGGAACAAGGAGGAATTCTGCAGGCAGACCACCTTTGGATTCAAACTACAAATCTTACCTAGGTCTCTAGCCTACCAGTCTACTGAGTAGATTTTGAATTTACCAACCCTATATAATCAATCAACCAATCTCTCTCTCTTTTTATACTCATACACACACCATACACATTCTGTTGGTCCTGTTTCTCTGGAGAACTCTGAATAAGACAGCAGGGTAGTTGAAAACTAAGCCTAAGAAAACAGGGAACAGGAATTCAGACCCTTACCTTTGTCTTTAGTTATTCCTAAAGATACCAAAATTCTCAAGAAGCTATAGTAGAATTTGGTTTTCATACCATAACCACTTAGCCAGCATAATGTTCTTTTCCTCTTAAAACTGTTAAATGACAAAACTAATCAATTCTGGAAAACAATCTGGCAGATCCTCAAAAAGTTAAGCATAGAGTTACCATATGACCCAGCAATTCCACTCCTAGGTACATGCCCAAGAGAACTGAAAACATGTCCACACAAAAATTTATATATGAATGTTCATAGCAGCATTATTCACAGTAGCCCAAAAGTAGAAATCTAAATCTCATAAATTGATAAATGGATTTTTAAAATGTCATATCCATGCATTGGAATGATTGAGGAATAAAAAGAAATGATGTAAGATACATGCTACAACATGGATGAATCTTGAAAACATACCAAGTGAAAGAAGGCAGGTACAAAAGGTCACAATGTATGAATTCACTGTCTGGATTAGACAACTCTATCTAAGTAAAAAATAGATTAGTGGTTGTCAGGGGCAAGGAGAAGGGGGTCAATAAGGAGTGAACGCTAATGGGTATGGGGTGTCCTACTAGGGAGATGATAGTGTGTGTTAGTGGTAATGATTGTACAACCTTGTGAATATGCTAAAAATCACTGAATTGCACACCTTAAAATTGTGAATATTATGTGAATTCAACTTAACAATAAAAGAATAAAACAACCTAACAATAAAAAAGTGTTAGAAAATAAAATAACTAATCAACTTACCTGCCCTTTTTGTGGTGCCAAACAACGAACGACTTCATCCACCATTACTGGAACATGTAATTTAGTCATCGCTTGAGAATCTCTATCTTGAGATCTGTGTAATTCCTGAGTTTCAGTTTGAACTGTTTGCTCCTGGGCTTCATATTCATTAGATCTTTCTGCAGTAGCATGTATTTTTTTTGGCCAGACACCCAAATTAAATATGCCAGATTCCAACCAGCATGAAAGAAAATTTTTAGAGATCCTATAAAAATCTGGGGATCGAAGCATTCTGTAGATCAACAAATCTAGAAAAAAATTTAAAATATCATGATTGTTGGATTTTTTAAAAAAAGAATGTTGTAATACTTGGGGGAAAGCAATTAGTATGCAATATTTTACACAGAAAATAATATGTAAAACTCATCATCTCAAACAAGTGAAGGTGACTACTCTGACCCTAACCCTGGCAAAGCAAGGAAATCAAGACAACCCCAGAAACTATCTGAAAATACAATTTTTAATGTGACCTGATAAGCTCTGACACCATCAATGTTTTAACCATCAGAGATGTAAAAATTGATTAGTCAGCATTTTTCTGAAATATGCTTTTTTGAATTTTTAGTAAGTCTAAAGAATGGGTTCAATGCATCAGAACTGTTAATTTGAAAGTTATCATGACTGAAGGGGTTATGGGAAGTGATCAGTCTGTGAAAATCTTAGACTTGTTATGGATATTCTCTAACGAGATCACATCACTATAGCCTCTATCAGTGAAATACACATCATTTGAAACTGTAACTTTATAAACACTCCACTGAACACTTTTTGGCATTTCACTTTCACCTTTAATTATCTGCTGCTTGCCCCTCATAAACAAGCAAATAAATAACTGATACATTCCTTCACTTTCTCATACTTGCTCCATTTTATTCTGTAATTCTTTAAAATGCAGAGGAAAAAAGTATTTATGTAAACATCTTAACAGAAGACATTTTGAAAACATTATGCTCTTTATCCATTTAGTTGCAAGCAGTATTTTAGATACTACCACAGTAAATAGCAAGTTAACATCACTCTTCCCTTTACAGTCACAAAATCAGAAGTACACTAGGTGCTTTGTAAGTGTTCTCTTAAAAAAAAAAAATGGGGTGGGGGAGAATCTACAGGATTAACATTTTTACCAAACCTTGTTTCTTGAATCAGGAAATTTCACCTGTCTCAATGACCCTACCAAAAACCATTCTCAAAATATTTCAAGAAATACAAATCTCACTTAAATTTGCTTTCCCTTCCTTTAGCAGTAGAAAATGAAGAATAATGTTAAAAAGTCAACCACATGTAATGACCAGAAAATAAAATATATATTTGCTATTACATAAATATAATATCAATAAGATGTTACCTTGAGGATAGTATGTCAATTTTATAAAAGCCATAATCCAACAGAATTGTTACAAATGTGACACAGAAAAAATGTGGCCAAAAAAGTTAGAAATGAGTGTTTTAAGAAAAATTTTGGATGTTCAGCAGTAACAACTTAGCCAAATTATGAACTATGCCTTATGTTTTTCCAGAAAGCTTACGTAAGTAAACCAAACTACACTTCAACCTAGTATTTCTAACATATTTCAAAATAAAAGCTAACACTTACTGAGCACTAAGTATCACTTACTATTCTAAGCACCCTACATGTACTAACTCATTCCATCCTTACCCCAACTCTTAGATGAAGGTACTATCATTATTTATATTTTACAGATGAGAAAACAGAGAAGTGGTTTGTCAAAAGGTCAAGTAACCAGAAGAGCCTTAAAGCTAGAACTGTAACACCAGCATTCTATCCCCAAAACCTTTTATCTTAACCTATATGCTATAAACATAGCCCACTGGCTCTATTTAATATACTCATGTAATTGAATGGTACTTTGATTACTCTATGTATTTGCAGTATCCCATGAATTAAATTCCTTTTTTTTAAGCAACAATACCCTATTGCTTGGTCCTACTCACTTGGAAATACAGAATACGTGGGGCATCCCACAGAGAACATATGTACAATAGTGGACTCTGCAGTGTTTAAACAGTATGACCAATAACTTATTTGATTCTTTTGCCTATCCAATGTATTTAAACAATCTACACTGTATGCTCAGATTTTGAATTTTTTTAAAAAAACAAGCAAACAAATAAAAAGCCCATCAATTCCAATGTAAGAATCAGAACACACAGGAAAAAGCAAGTACATAGAAAAATAAAATGTTTCTTTGACCAACATTTAATTCTTTTCTTCCGCATTCAATTTCTTTGTATTTACTCAAATACGCTCAAGGTACAAAGCCTGTAGATTTTACTGTGCACTAACTGGCTACTAATGTGGGTAAACATGGAGAAACGGGCTCAATACTTAATATTCCTCTTCGGTCGTTTCTTTAAATACCTCCCTAAAAATGTAAGGGGGCACGCCATAAACGGAGCTTTCCTTCCCCCTCCTCTGCAGCCCAACCTCCTACCAAATAACCAAGAGCACTCCTGCAGTCCCCTAAGAACTAGCCACCCTAAATGATTTAAGAGTTCAAGTTCTCTCTGGTCACAGTATAAGAAGCAGGAAGTCGGGAAACTCAACCTCTAGAGCCAGCTCTGTAGTTTCCTAGGTAAGCCATTTAACTTTTCTCTGCCAGCAAAGTTCAAACTGCTGAGACCACAGAATTAGCCAGGTTACTCTTTTAATTGTAGGAGCACAAAGATAAGTGAACATTACTTCCTCAACGGTGCTCCCAATTACCATCATTGCAGTTCAACTCTCCCAGCAGAGAAAAAAACCCTTTGGAAACGTAATTCCTAAAGCCAAAAGCCCGACCTGGAGGCTGGCACCCGAACGCAGAGAAAGTTAAAGAGGTCCTAAAGGAAAGGGAAGAATTCATCCTTTAGCCTAAGAATTACACTGTGACGAAGGGAGCAGTTTAGAAACTTCAGAACTCAGCAGGAGTGTGTGTTGAAGGGAGGAAGCGAGAGAGCGGGGCGCGTGTTTCCTTTGTCCTGAGCGAATCCGGCGACCCCTGAAGTTCCCCCAAAGGCGTGGGGCGGGCTCCAAAAGGGCTCCGGGACTCGGCCAACTTCTCCTCACCTGAGGCATGAAGATTTCTCAGTTGGCCTCTAACTCGGGCCAGCGACGACCACTATGGTGCCGGAGAACCTGAATTTGCCGCTAGTCCAAGTCCCAGCCCTGGGGGAAACTTGTGAGGACGGACAGATTGGGCCCACGTCCGCCCCAGCAACCGAGGACCGTCTGCCTTTGGTTCCGCCGCTTCCAGTCCCCAGCTGCCAAAGGGTCCTGCAGGCACTGGGGTTTCCAAAGAGTGTTCCTAGGGGAGGGGTGGGATGTGAATAAGTCCTTACCATTGCCAGGTTCAAATTCACTTTAACCTTTTTTTTGGTCTGATGCAACTTCAAATCTAACTTTCCATTTTATCCTTCTCTCCACTCTTTCCAGTTTACTATGAACCTGTGTTAAATTTGTGTTCTCAATAACAAGGCGCGTTAGTTATACTCCAATCTTTAACAAAAGGTGGCGATTTCTGTCTCCTTAGCACTACGTGTTTGTAAAGTTTGGAATCTTTTCCCTTCATTTCGTACAAAATACTTCAGTCTCTTACTCTTTCTGTTATACTCCTCAATGTCTTGCCAAACTAAAAAGAAGCCATCTGGCACAGTAATGGCATTGATTACAACGTTAAAATTTCTCTGCTTTGACTAAATCTACAATTCCCTAAGAATATGAACTTCATCATCTGAACACTGCTAAATGGTAAAAGTTATACTTAAAGTAAGTACTTGGATTAGGTGTGGAAACACCTGAGAGACTAGTCAGCCTTATACAACGTGGGTATCAAAAACGACAAAATATAAAACACTTCCACTTATTCACCTATAAACAATGCAATTTTACAAATATTGGTAAAACATGACTATTTTCAGACTAGATTAAGATGGTATCATAATATCACTTAATCTATAAAGTATTTCAGAGACAAATGACTCAGTTCTGAATTGGCTGGTTTGTACAGTTCAAAAGAAATATTTTCCTTCTGAGAATTTCTGAAAAATTCAGTTTTTTCTTCAGTAAAATAAACAGTATCTATATCTTACGGGCTGTTTTGAGAATTAAATGATTATATAACGTATATAAAATTGGTAAAATGCCTAGGACATCAAAAGTAAGACACTATAGAGTGAGTGCATATTTGAAATAAAATTAAAAGCTTTTCAATTTCACTATCAAACTCAGCACCACACAAATCACTATCTCATTAGCTAAGATACATGTAATACAGTCAGCAGTTAGTAGCTTTATTGATGCTCTATTCAGTGTTCAGAAACATGCATCATATATAATGAATCATATACAATACATAGTGCTTCTGATTTTCTTCAATAGGAAACATTATAGAATATGAGGGTTTCCCGTACATTGTTTCACTTACAATAGTCTGCATTTGGTGTTGTGCTGTCCTAGATAGATGGTGATATTGAATCACTAGAACATAAGCTCCAAGAGGGCAGGGATTGTGACTCAATCATGTGCTATTATGTCCTTAAAATCTACAATATATAACTGCTAAATAAATGGGTACAATAATAGCAGTATAAAGAACAACAATGAAATTCAGAGCATACTATTAAAAATATCCTGAGAAATAAAAGATGATGTCTCTTAGCAAACACATTTCCTATTTTTTTCCAGTTATTTCTTTTCTTTTTAAAGTTTACATTCTAAAATAACACCTACAAACTAGGACTTAAAAACCCATTGCATTCAATAATGAACTAGGCCAATAAATTTAAATGAATTTATTTTGTAATGCCATCATTAGAATGAAATGTAAAAAACAGCCATACACCAAATAGTTTCAGAGTCAGCGCTAAGGGAGAAGGCCTAACGATCCTGAGAAATGAAGCCTGAGGCCTCAAACCAAAAGCGCTGGACTTTAAATTAGTCGAGGCGAACTGATCCTAGTTCGGACCAAGTGACAGTGGCTGAAAGGAAGGGTGTCTTTATAGCTTCCAGATCGTGGAACCTGTGGCCTGGAGGCCTCATTATTCAATAGAGAAAAGGAGAAAATAAACACCCAGATCCCATTAATCCACCCATCAGGCTCCGCCTCTCCCTCTCGCAGAGGACACACGCCAACCCCTGCCCGCACCCGTCTCACTCACACCCTGAACCCTGGGACCGTGCCCTGCGCCCGCGGTCTGAAGGCGCCTGAAGATCCCAGGTGGCCGCCTCCCACCTGCAGCTCCGGCCTAGCCCCGCCCACCTCTGCCACTGCCTCCGGAAGCAGCAGTGCGCGTTGCCACGCTGACGCGGAGCCAGCCAGCTTTCACTGTAGCGCGCGGCGGCGACTCCTGGCGCCAATCTGCAGCGCGCCACGGCAACGTCCTGCGTGATGACGTCAACGAATACGGCAGCCAATGAAACGAGTCGCTGAGGAAGCAGGCTTAGGTTTGAATCTCCTGGCTGAGTTTGAATCGCCGGGAGGCGGACATTGAAGAGAAGTGTCGCGGTAACCTCTTCTGGGCCTGAGGTGAGTGAGAGGCAAGAGGAGAAAAGTCTAGTCTCGGAGACGTCTTTTTAGATGACTTGTCTCGCTGGAAGCGGAAGGGTCCCGCCGCCTTAGGGATAGAGGACCAGGTGGGCTTGTTGACAAACGGAAGCGTTGAGTGGGGGCGGTGGGGGTGAGGATGAGGGTGGGGATGATTAGGGTCCCTGGAGAGAAAGTGAAAGGGAGGGGGAACTCGAGAATCCGTTAGTTAGTGGCTCTGCCTGATCGGGAGTCCTCGACTGTCTGCAGGAAGGGCAGGGATCTCCTCCCTGAAATTCTAAGTCGGAAGTTTTAAAGGGCATCCTGGCCCCTTTCCCAGACTTTGGCAGAGCACTTTAACTGTCCAGCACCTTACAGTGTGAAGTTCCTTCCGGACTCCAAATTCACAGTATTTTGTTTCAGACACAGATGTAAATGTAACTCTGGACGTAACTATCAAATGAGGAGCCTTGGTTAACCGACTTGGAAACTTTTCATCTGGCGAGGTTCTGCTGTTAGCCTGGCAAAGATCAATCGGGAATCTGCCCTGAGCCCCAGTTGTAGTATCAAAATAAGACCTGCCAGTATTTCCTGACGGGATTACTAAGAATTAGATGGGCTATGAAAGAGACACTGGTTGACAAAGTGCTCTGCAAATGAAAGGGACTTCTAAGCACTTAGAATCAGCCCTTCTGAAGTCTGTTCTTAGTTTCTGCAAGACTCGCCTTGAGGAGCTCATTAGGCTCTCAATTTCAGAGAGGTCAAGGCTGACTGCTCTTTATGTGAAGAGATTATTTGACCAGAATTGAATAATTTTGTTGTGTGATATATAGTTTAGATTGTTAATGGCAATCAGGTAAAATAAGGCATTCTACAGGTTTTAGTTGATTAATGTTATTCCACCCCAGTCAGCACCCGACCTTGGATTCTGGGAGGTATATATGAACTTTGTTGCTAGAGAGTATAAGATCCAAAAACTAGGTAGTGCTTGTTATTAAGTTTCTACTTTTGTAAGTTTTGTCAGTTTGAGTAAACAAGGATTATCTGCCTTTAACAGTAATAGTCTCCTGTTATTAGACAAGTATTTAAAAGTTCATAAAATTTTCATTTTAAAAGTGCATCTTGTCCCTCTATAAATACACTCTGAATCAATCAAGGTACACGATAAAATGACTTTTGTGCTGTCAACTCTATGATAATTAGGAGGAAAAAATAGTCCATATATTTTCATTCTTCCCTGATGCTT